CACACCAATTTTATTCCCCAATCAAGTATTTCCTGCTTGCTTTTTTTTTTTTTTTTTTGCCTTTTATTTTTGGGTTTTTTTGGATTCTTGTCTTTTCCTTGCACTTTTTTTCCTGTTGCAAGGTGATTTTTCGTTTTGCTGTGAGTGTTTTTGCCTGTAGAGCACAGCTACTTGATGTATTAGTAGTCAGAGAGAAGTTGCTCTCATGCACAGCTTCCTCTCTTCTCCTCCTAGCCCCGCAAGGATAACTGTCACCCTCACCAGCTGGTACTATCTAGATTAAAAATAGACATCAGCTGCACAACTGCAAATTTCTCCTGAGGATACCAACACCAAGAGAGTAGACTACAATTCTTTACACAGAAAACTTCTAAAAACACATTAGAAATTACATCTCCCATCTTCTAAAGCTCTTAACACCACTCACTCTAGCCTTGCCCTCAGTATCTGTTTCCACCAGCTCTTCAGGATAATCAGCTGCCTGCTACCAATTAGTCCTGAAAAACTAGCAAGGATATAGCCCCACTAAATTGCTGGCAATGGCTGTAAGGATTTTAACTGCTCAAAAGCAAATTATTAACCTCTGCTTCACCAGACTCTGAGTTGGAATAATTTTCCTTTTCATGTTTAGATATTTGTAAGAGAGAGAATGTCAAAGCACTGAGGGTGTAAATCTCTGTGTTACCTGTAACAGCTGATGAAAAAGAAGACCAGCTGGTAAAATTTGTTAGGGAAAAAAATCTATTCTCATTTCATAGAAAATTCCATCTGCTTAATTATACCTTTAAAACATTAGATATATTAGAACTACATTCTTTCTTCACTGCAGTATTTAAGTAGAAACAGGTTGGTGTTAAGCATGGAGGGTAATGTTGAATGTCATGTTCAGAGGTAAATCCCCAGTTCCTTTGCTGACTCTCTGGGTTACCTTGGGTAAAGCATTCTTGTGTTTCAAATGCAGACTCTTTTTTTTCCTCACTTTCACTCTTATATCAGGGACATTTTTGATATGATTTTGGGGATTTTTTTTAAAGGTACATTTAATCTGTAAGATGGGAACTCAGCAGAGGGTGAGGTGTAGGTCCTATTTCAACAATACCAGAATGCTACTCATCATTTTGTCCACTAATGAAGCAAGATGCAAGGCTGTGCTTTCCCAGTAAGAGAAGAAATGCATCCCTCTTAAGTTTGAACTCCTGTGTTACAGACATGAGATATTTATATCATGTCATAGCTCCATGTGGTACCTAAAGTAATTTATGTAGGCTAAGGCTCATAGATGCTATTATAACACAGTAAAATTGAAATAGCTGAGAATAATGCTATCCATTTTACTGTTATAAAAAAGGGCATAACAAAAAATCAAAATCAGAAACACAAAGGCAGACAAGGAAGGGAACCAGGAGCCAGGAGAATCTCCTCATGCCCTAGCATGAGGGGCTGTGCTCTTCATTCACATAGATACAAATGTGCACAGTGCTGACCCTTTAGTTCACGCAGATTCAAGGGACTGAAATAATTTTCTCCCATCCTGATCTTCCTGGAGCTGGAGAGCACAGCCAGGGCTCTGCTCTTGTTAGACACTGTCAACTGCTGTTAATGAAAATTAGCTGGATGAGGGGTGGGGAAGCTGCTGCCCAGACTCTCTTGCTCAGCAGGAATTTCGAGTAAAGCTTCCTGCAATACTGATCCTCAGCTGACTGGTAAGGTCTGTTTTGGGTCAGCAGGACACAGATAAAACAGCCTGACAGCAATATAGTTGAGTGTGTCTCCTTTCAGCGTCTTGAAATGGTCAGTAAGAAGATTCCTAGCTTTCCTTCTTGGACCTATTTAAAATAATCACCTTGTATGTTCTGTATATCTGGACAAGATCTGGGGTCTAGAGAAATTATCATCAAGCAGTATCCATATTTAAGGAAATACTTACCTTTTCAAAACCCAAGCAACGCAAGGGGAAAGATAATTTTTCATGTCTGCCTAATAATTTAAGAAAACAAACAATGAAATACAGCTTTTAAAATACATACTCCCTTACAATAATATAATAAACTGTGCTGTCATCTCATAAAAAATCCAAATGGTTGCTGTGGTGACAAAGATTATCCTTGCTGCTGCTTGATTCTGTCATTTTTCTAAACATGAATTCGTAATATTTAAGATTTATTAACAAGGTGTCACACTGATAGAGATGAATTACATGCTTTAAACTGGCCATGTAAGTCTTCTACGATATTACAACCACTTTGTCAACTCAGCAATAAGACATGATGTGATTACTACAAAATTAAAGCTATTTGTCATAAAAGATGAAGCAGAGAGTATCAGAACTCTCATAAAACAACAGCAAAAAATCTCCAATAATCTGTTTCCTGATTTTAAATACTTTGAAATTAACAAATAGTTGTTATTCTCTGTTTTGTAAATTGATTTTGTTTAGCTTATATTAAGACTAGATTTATTTGTACTGGAAAAATTTGGGATGTAATGTGTCAGAATTGATGTGATCCAGACTGCAATTTTTTATGATGGTTCAGACTTTAATGGGAAGTTTGTGAAGAGACTTTAAGTGCGTAAATGAATATATGCACACACTTGTGTGTTAAGATGTACTTCACTTCTAGGAATTTGTGAATGTTTTCTTTGTGATGTGTGGTATCCTAATTGTAGCAGAAAATTAGATGAGGTTCTCAGTGTGGCCATCTAAAAAGGTATCTTTTTGTGCAATTTACTGGAATATTTGTTTGAAGCAAGCTTCACTACTGATACAGTGTGAGCCTGATTTAAATAACCAGCTCTAGATCCATTGCTCCATACATATTTTCCAATCAAACTAGCAGTAATTTCCCTAAATCAAAAGTAATTTTAAAACTTTATTTTTAAATAACAAGGATTTATTCTTATTTTATACTTATTTTTTCAAGAGAAATAGGCCTGTTTTCTGCAGTGAGACACATAATATAGGGTAGAAATGCAGCAGAGCTGAGGCATTTTAAAGCAAGCAAGGAATATGTGTATTTGTGACTCTGCCTGAAGAATATGGTTTATTCATATTCATCTCAGTATGTAAGGTGACCTCTTGAACTGGGTGAGATATGTCTCCACTGAATGTTGCAATGCAGAGGAAGTGACTCAGCTTTATTCAAGTCCCCTGAGTCAGTGTTTGAAGGCAGGGGCATGGAGAACTGCTCAGATGTGCACAGAATCAGGGAGCAATCTTCCATCTGTTACTGTCTTGCACCATTCCTACCACTTCTGGTACCTAAACTAGACCATGTAGCCATTTAAGCAAAACAAGTGGGAAACGTTTGAAAATGCAGCAACAGGATTCTCTCAGTCAATAGAAATAAAATATCCTCACATATTTGAAATAAAAATAATCCAGGCTCAGCTGAAACACAGTAAATCAGTAGAATACATTTCTTCCTATTCTCACCCTTTGAGGTTTATAGACCCTTAAATGAACTGCCACCCGGGCTGAAAACAGCAAGAGGAGAACTGAATAAAAACTTCTTTTAGCCTAATGACATCGTATAATTAGCTTAGTTAGGTTTCCATACATTAGTGGTTAACAGTGATGTCTTTTACCCTTTATTACTCTTTATCTCAGTGAAAAAATATTCTCTCTATCTGAAGACAACATAGCCTGATGACATAGAATTGCTATGTTTTTGCAAACCACACAATAATTATTTCAGATATCGAATACTGTACAATAAAAACATTCTGCATTATTTTCAAGGGCTTAGGTAAATATCTGGGAAGGGGAAATTTTGTTTCCTACTGGATTTCTTTGGCAATGTGTATCCTGAGAAAATGGCTAAGGTCGTAAGTGAAATATTTCAGTTGTCTTCAATAGGCATTAGAGTAGCTTAGACTTGAGATGTAATATGCATAACTTTTCCTCTGTTGTATTAATTTTGGGGTCAGAGTTCTTGTTATTTAGACCCTGCAGACCATAGGTAACACTGAAATACAAGTTCTCTCCCATAGAGTCTAGAGAGATTTGCATTTGCTTTTGTCAAAAACAAACTTCATACAGTATTTTACAGTGCTTTCCTTCAGCAGAAAATATTTGCACAATATGATAACCCAGGCACTCTACATAGCCTTAATGACTTTGTTGCAGAGCTAAAATAAATGCTCTTTAAATTTCTACAACTGTGTGAAAAGATTTGATTTAATTCTGGTTTGCTTTATAAAAAATTCAGCATTTTACCTTTTTTAATATTATCCGGGTTTTGATACAATAAGGACAGTAGGAAAAACATTTACATGGAGGTATATAGCAGCAATTTAATATCAACATTGCAGCTGAAAAATTTCATTCAAAAGGAATGGCATAACAAGGGCAGATAAATACTGTGCCCCTTCCTCCTCTAAGGAAGACAGTTCTCAGATTTTGGTGTACAGCATGATCAAAATGAGTCATTCTCCAAGACAACAATCCCTAACCTGGGAACTTTTTATCTTTGCAGTTTGTATAGAGCATTGAGTCTAACTTTTATTGTGTGTTGGACTTAACAATTCAGTATGTGAGCTTTAAAAATTTTAGAAAATGTAGTGAAAAGAACATTTTTCCTTCCAAAGGTAGTTTGGAAAACATAAAATAATTATCTTGGCAAACAACTCAAGATAAATACGAAAAATGTTTAGCAAATAATGCTTTTCTGAATCATGACCAACACATGTTACTGCATAACTGTTACAGATGAGCAAAACCTATTCTTGCTTTTAAAAGTACTTGTGTGGCTCAATTAAAAACGGCAAAATTATTAAAGACACTTAATATTGTGATTTTTATCCAAATATATTTTCTATGTATATATATATAAAATTGAACTCTATTGTATGTAACTGACTATGCAGGTGATAAAGCTGTGGTGCAGCCATAATATTAAGCACTTTTAATTTTTTTTTTTTTAATATGAAAATGCATCTGATATTTTTGTGTGTGAAAATCATTTCAATATTGACGAATCTGCCTTGCATTTTTTTTTCAGAAATTCAAAAACAGAAAACTGAGAGACCTGAAAAACGAACACCAGCAAAGGGTAACTGTTTTTTTTTGTCTGTTTGTCCACATATATTTGTGTAACATACAGTATCTTTGTTAACAAAAACATATTTTTTGTAACTTGGTTAACTATTCCTGTTGTATCATAGAAGCATTCAAACGTCAGCTGGCACAGACTGCAAAGGATCAAAAATTCATGTATACCTAAGCATTAACAAGAAAAAAAATGTAATTTTATGCTTGTGTAGCTAGATTGAAAATGCACATTCATAATAAGATTCTCCTGCCCAAACTTTTCCAGGAATCTTTTCTCTAGTAAAAGTGCAAGCAAGTTGAGTGTTGATGAACTTCCTCTGGTGAAAAAGGCATGAAGTGAGTTGGGCAAGGAAGAAAGTAAATTTATAGGCCAGTGGGTGCCATCCAAGTTAGGAAGTCATAGCTAAGAGTGAGCCAGGTGTGTATCAGAGATAAGAAAAGTTCCATTTTAAGAACCTGCTCTTTTTCAAACTGTTTAATCTCCTATAACTGGCACTTTCCGAAAACGCACAGAGGAACTGGTTTGGACTGGTTTTCAGAGATCATACAAACAAAGGTGTTTTCTGGGATATCTGAAGGGTTTTTTTTGCCTAACAGAGCTCCTCCATAAAGGCTAGGCCACATAAAACTTCATGAGCATCCCTCTAACGCACCAGTGCTCAGCTTGATAGTGGCAGGAGGAAGCAAGAAGGAGGCTTATTAAAAATATTGTGTGTACACATACACCCTCCCTCATGCAATTATATTCATTTCTGCATCTATTCTTAGTGTGGTTTTATAGTATTTTACACCTCTGTAAAATGTTTTTATGGTATTTTTCAGCTCCAGTTCTGTGCTAATCAGGGTCATCTGAACTGCCTGGAATGGTTTCCCAACTACTTAATAAAACATGTTTTATCAAAATGAATTTTTTAGGATACCAGTGGGCAAGCCAGATAATAATGAACCCACATCCATAAGCAAGGATCCCAGTTAAGGTCTTTTCAAGCAAAGTAATCTAAGAACACAAATGATATTGCAATCTTGGCCAAAACAGCCTCTTGTGTACCATTTAATCTATACAAAAGTGCATTTCTTTACACAAAACAATAACATTGCAGAAATTATGACGAAGAAATTATAAGATACCAGGAAAAAAAAAAGTGCTCAGGTGTCATTAGTTAAATCCCATTATTTATGTGCCTGATAATGCAGTCTCTAGTTATACAATCAGTTGCTGAAGTACAAAACAATTGTTTTTTCCTCTAATTTGTTTTCATGTTTTATCCTAACAATGTGACTTGTATATAGGAGGAACAATGACAAGAAAACTTCTGTCTGGTGCCCGTCTACAGTGTAACAAAGGCATGAATACTTATGGAATTTTATGGTTACCTTCTGAAGTACCTTCAGCAAATATGCACAAATAGTCTTTTATTGTTTTTAACAGAAAAAATCCAGAAGTAAAATTAATATTTTTAATAGCAAGAAATGGAAAAAACATTCCTGTCTTCTGCCCAACATGTGGGAACACTGGAATTTTAAAAGTAATTTTATTGTATTTTTTTGAATAGTCAAATCCTCTGAGTACAAGTCCCACAATTTACAAGGGAGTTCAATCTATAAGCCTCATTTTTGAAAGATTGAAGTGAAATATGAGGAACAGTTATAATGAATAAAAATCCCAGATGGAAATGACTGAAATTAAAAGATTCAAGCAGTATTGAGAGCTGGGCAAACTGGTGCCCTAAAATTTGCTTTTAATTAAATATTTTGATAAACTACTACCAATAATGTCTATTCCAATTATTGTAACCAATTTAATCTTGGAAAGAAGAAATACTCTGAGAAATAATTTCACAAAGCCATTGGTCATGCTTAAGAGCCCTGAAATCAAATTATTTCATGATAACATATACAAGTTAGGGTCTTTCCAATTTGGTATTTGAGGTATGAGTAATTTCACGAATGCAGTGGCACCTGGACTGCATGACCAGGAGCTTGATCATCCAGCAGAGGCACAAGAGATTGATTATCTTCCTTTACAAAACTCTCCAGAGCATCTAGATATTGTGTTCTAGATAGAGTTTGCAGACTTTGAGCTGCTTCTGGAGTCTGTTTAAGAAATTGGTGATATAATTGTTACTACTATTACTACCAATAAGAGTTAATTACACATTATTTTGGCAAAAAGTTAGAACAATAGTAAAAAATATCGAGATAAAAGTATAAGTAAGTACAGAATTTCTGTCTAATGGAAGGTCCAATGACAATTTCTGATTTTTATGGAAAACTGATCTCACCAGTGAAATGAATTTCCCTGCATTTCTGGGAAATAGCTCTAATTAAAACAGGCATTGAGAAGGAATGGGAAAGCATTTATTTACTGTATGACTTTTCCCAAAATCACTTCACTAATACATTGCTGATGGGGTGAGGTATGGAAGAGAACAATGTAATGATGGTTAATTTGCTGTATCTGAAAACAAAGTATTTGAGACAGCTAAATAGATAAATATAGCTAGATCATACAAATCCTAGTGTTCTAGAAACCCACACAATCTCACGAAGTTAATAAATTAAAATGCATATTTCGTGCACAGACAAATCTGTCTCACCCGATTTCTCAAATTACAGCTACAACTACGCCTGCATTAACTTTAATCTGGAGAAGATGGTACAGATGGCAACATAGCTGTAGTTTCATTAAATTATATATTTGAACCTGGAAGTCTGTGTCCCTCTCCAGACCAAACCCTCTTTTTTTTTTTTTTAGCGTTCCTTCAGGAAGAATTAAGTTGTAGCCATCTAAAGTTGCTTTGCTTCCGAATGAAAGCATCTAGGCAGAGATTTAATGCTCTCTGACTAATGCACTCCAACTTCATTGTATTAGTTCATTTATCTTAACTTTCCTGAGAGTGCTGCTCTGTAGAAAAGCACTCAGTCTGGCAGCTGGAGCAAGCAGTCTCTGCTTCATGCTCACTGCACTCAGCACCTGGCTTTGCACTAAGCAGTAGACTTAAGACCTACTCAGCTGGAAACTATTTTTGCTTCTTTTAGGTACAGAAGTAGTGCCTTACTACACCTCTTCTTTTCACACTTTCTGTTTTGGAAGGTGGAATGTCTTTGTTGAAGAGCTTTATCCAACGCAAACTAAATCACGTTCCCCTTCACTATATCTTCAATTTGATGCAAATAAAATCTGCGATGCTGATTGAAATTAGGAAAATCCTCTCACATATATGCAACCCTTCTTATTTTCATTTTTCTGTGAAGTAGATAGCAATATTAAATTTGGAATACATAGTTAAATTACCTTAAAATTTTCCATTATAAGCTTCTATTTTAGATTATTTACAAATTTATCACACTCCAGTCACTTAGGATGAGATTTCCCATGTTCATTTTTTTGCTTCAGGCTGAATTTTCATTCAAAGACATGCAAAAATGTTTCAACAATTTCCAAAATCTAGGTTAGTGAAAATTAGGTTGGGGTGCTATATTTTTTCCAATGTTAATAAGACTTCAGTCTGAGCTTGTGACTTTTTGGTATTCACAAAGAAGTCCAAGAAAATTCCTTTTAATTTGTGGAAAAATTTTAGCTTCCACCATTGCCATAAATTTACTTGGCTTTAAGTCTATTTTTTCTTATGGTTGTCACCAGCATCCTAGTAGCAAAAGCAATAAAAGAGATGATCTTTTAACTACAAAATGTGTCATAAAGCTACTAAAATGATTGAATTCAAGTTGAATGAACAGTTTTAATTTCAGCATTTTTCAGCTGAAGAGTGTGCAAGTAGTCTTAAAAACTTTTTTTATGTTAGTGCTCTTTCTTCCCCCTTTATATTTTAATGGAAAATAATATCCAATCAACTCTAATTTTTTTTTTCACAGAAACATGGCAATATGGCCAGCCAGGCTAATTCTAAAATTGACTGATTGTACCTGGAATTTTGGGCTTGAGAAAGAGCAAGTATTAAGCCCTTGAAAAAGAAAAATATATCCAAAAGACAAAATATGAAAACGATCTGTAGACAGTGATGTATGTTCTATGACAGAGCTTTTATAACTACATATAAAGTTGAACAAGAAAATATTTCGGGGGAGAGTTAATATGCTAAGAAACATCAGATTTACATTTGTCAGAACAAAAGCTTCAGTGGATTTTGTTGGTCTTGTGACTGAAGAGTCAAAAATGGCCAGTGACCACAGCCCTGAAACATGAACACTTTAATTTTTGGCAGCACCTGCCCTTCCCAAATAAGGGAAGCCATGGCTTTGACAGTGCCCATAAGAGGTAATGATAAACATTACAATCTGAGATTAGCAACCTCTGAGGCTATGGGGATATCAGCACACAGGATAAGGCTCTCAAACTAACCAGAGATCACCTTCAGCCTATAATTGGGAAGAGAAAAATAGCTTATGCTTATGCCAGCCTGGTCTCTGCTTATCCACATTCCAGGCTCCCTGCCCAGATACATCAAGTTACTTTTCTTTCTCAAGAAGGGGCCAACTTATCCCTTCCTCATGTTTTAAGTTGTAGTCCACAAAAAATATTAGTATTTCCTTGCGATTTAGCTGTTTACATCATTTTGAGAATGTGAAACAAATTTAAATTAGATTTTTCTATCCACTTTCAGTTCTACTGACATTCCATTCAGTTAGTGTTGTTCAAAGCTCATTTTATGGGTTTGCTGTGTGGGTATGGCTTTTGTTTGTTTTGATTTCTTTTGGGTTCTTTGGTTTGTTTTCCTGTTGTGTGGTTTTTTTCCTCAAATCATGAAATAAGGAAATGCTATAGAAAAACTACTTAAAATTTTTAAAAACCCAAAATAATCTGTTTTACAAAAGTAAGATGCCCTGTGGATAAATCTTTCTGATTACCAATCTGTTCTGCATAGTTCAGCTGTATTTTTTTGGCATAAAGACTACAAGAGCTTTTGTCTGAATGTGCAGAAGCTCATGTTTCACTCACACTGACCATCACATTGTTTACAAAACTCTGCTGTTGGTCCTGCCAAAACTGACAAAAGTGTTTAGGATAGAGCCAGCATCTGCTAATACAAATGCAAGATGTAAAAGCATGCTACAATTTCTTCAAAATACTCAGTTTGGAGAATGTTTTTTTCTTGGTGTGCTCCTAGGTCTGCTAAAGAGTTTGGATGAGTTGCAGTCTGTAATTCATTCAATAATACATTGCTAGTGCTGCTGTTTTCTGGTGCTGCTCTTTTCTTCACAGCCTTTTTTTTTTTTTTTGTGTAAATTTGCTGTCCATGTTCTTTAAAGACTTCGAAATATCTCTCTTCAATCTTTTTCAACTGCATGGCTGTTTGTTATCACAATAATTTACTTGTTATGACAGAAAGTGAATTTTGGATAATACAAACAAATATAAGACATAATGAATTTACTGAATGTTCTGAATTATTTTTCTTAATGGCTACAACCTTCTTTTTAATGTGGAAACACTCAGCCAACAAAAAAGTGCTTGCCCTTTTGTGAAATGGCATTCACTGCAAAGCTGGTGAAATGAATAGATACAAAAGCATAATGTGCTTGTTTATAAAGCTCACTGTCTTCTAATCAGAATTTGTTTTACTTTTTTCCCAGAAACCTAGGTACAGGAAAGAAAACAATATTTCCCTGAAATTATGAAATTCTAGACTTTTAGTAGTATGGGTTTACTAGGAATAAAATCATTAGTAGGTGGGATTGAACCACTTCATACCATGGTCTGAGAGCTAGGTGGGCAAGGGAGTCTAGAAGGACTCGTGTTTGCCTGCCTCTTTGCAGGACATGGAGTCAGTTGTGTTTTGAACAGCTGCTCTTCCTGAGGTTACACTCTGATTAAAAGAGATGTTTTCTTGTTAATCCATCCTGTGACGGAAGTGACAGCTAAAAATAAAGAAAAAATAGCATAGAAAGCAATATGCTGGTCAGTTTTTTGTTAAGAATAGAAAGCAATGCTGTCAAGGGCTGAAAATAATTTCCTCTGTCAGAAATCTGAGTCAGGGTGGTTGTGTAATGAGACCAAAACAGAAAGGACAGATTAGATTGAGGTTGCTGAATAATCACTTCTTTCAGAAAAATATGGTCTGATATTTGAAGACTTATTCAAGGAAAATATTTCTCTTGGACCTGGAATTAAATGTTGACATTCAGAAGGTCTATACATCATCAAATACCTGTGACTCAGAGCTAAAATCCATTATTTGGGTTTCTGAATGCTTTTCCTTGATAATTTTCATGAGATAATAAATGTGTTTAATACATGTAGATTAAAGATTTATTGTGAGCTGGGGTTTATTTATTTGTTTATTATTTGTAGCAACACAGAGAGACAAACCTGAAAAACAAGAAAAAACTGAGAGGAAGGAGCCCCCAAAGGGTATGTATTCAGCTTATGATATTCCTTGCCTTTTTATCAGTGATTCAAAGTAGTCTAATCTATTGACTCTTAGACTGTTCTTGTAAATCCCAATAATGTTTAAGGATGGAGGAGGTGTTGTGAAAGCCAGCTGGAAGGAGAATGAGGTTTATAAAACAATTTGAATTAATCACTCTACAGAATAGCTGAAATTATATTCAGATAGTCTTTACTGTACTAGTAAGTTAGGTAAAAGTACCTAGAGCACAAATTGGTGTTCTTTTTATTCTTCTTGAATAAATCCAAGCATATTATTTGCCCTTGAGAATATTTTCCACCAGAATGTAATTAGTAAATTATAACTTACTGGAAATGGTCCATCTAGACATTCTGCTTTGGAAATCTGATTAAAATAGAGAGAAAAAGGGAAAAAAAAAAAAAAGAGGAAAAATAAATTCCTCTCTTAATTTCAGACACACCGGGGAGAGATTTTAGAGAGAATTTAATAATTTCCTAGTGTTGTGTGCCAACAACAAATTACAGATCTGTTGTAGGAGTCAGAATCAGGATACTGCTTGCTCTCCACCCACAACTCGTGAGTTATCTCTGGGTTACAATAGCCACTGTCTATTTTACTTTTTGTGAGGATATTTTAGTCAAATGAAATTTTGGTGGAGTGCAACTACTTGTCAAAACAATTCTTCTGAGAACATGTCCTTTGCACTAACCTATGGCTAATGAAGTCTTGGGTTGGAGGAAGGAAAATATTCTGAAAAAGCAAACAGGCCAATGATCACAAAAAATTACCAAAACAAGAAAAGGGAAGACCAAATATCCAGCCACAGCAGACTTCTTCAGGCCAAGAATTCAAGTGAAGGTGAACTTCGTGAAAGTTGTGCTTGACAAGGCCTTTCTAACAGTCTCTGATTGGAGCTTTTCCATTTCATGTAAGCAATTCAAAGTCCCTTGAGCTAACAAGACTGATTTTAGAACTTAATGGCAGGCATATAAATTGAGGTGTCTCTTAGAATGAATATTTATTGGTAGAAAATAGAATGATGATAACATGGGAAATTTTTTCTGGGGTTTAGAAAAATTACAAAGCAAAGGCAATAATGTCCCATATTAAAACATGAATTTATCTTTAAGACTTCTGTTATAATGTGGAAAATCTGTGGAACTCTTCAACCTGATTTCACAGGAGAACAATATTTAATGTTTTATTAAGTTTCTTAGAACAAGAAAAAGATTATCACAGCCAAACTCAGATAGCCAGTGAAAGAAAATGATAATTATACTGCCTTAGCTTGCCATAAATCCTATTAATATTCTGAATACCTAGTAGTATTTTTTCTTGTAGTGAACTATTTGTTTCATGTAGTGAACTATTGCCAAACTGCTACGGAAACACTACTGTGTATAGAGATTTCTGTATTCACAGTGCTAATAAACATTGCTTTCAGACTGTACATTAAATTTCAAAACTAAGACTATGAATGTGTGTCTTTCTAAGGTCCATTTCGTTATAGTGTGACTGGGAGACTCTAGAGACTGCATCCCTGTATTTTTGCTGCTTATTTTCTGCATTAAATATATTGCCTTTTCAAGATTGAGGTAATGGAGTGTATAAATAGCATCCTATTCTAATCTATAATCAGCTTCTGAGATGAAGTTTAAGAAAGTTATTTAATGACACAGAGAGTAATTAGGAGTGTCTCAGTCACTTAGCACTGTGTCAGAGATGTCAGCCATATTCTCAAGCATTTAATCACTATATTGCTTAAAAATGTGGAAGCCTGAATATTGCCTACCACTCTTCTTTTTGCATCCAGTTACATATGGAATCCATGGTACTGTAAAAGAAGTTTTTAATCTCCTCATGTTAGACAAAACGAGTTTCACTAAACTTGGATGAAATCTCCACAGGAGTTAGACTTAAGCTAGGCTTGCATTTTCACAGCTGTTCTTTCAGAAGTGCTCTAAAACCCACACGTTTATTTTTCATTTTCTGGAACATTACAGTATAATTGCAAAATCCTAAGAAAAGTGAGTGGAAAATGTTCTGTGAAAGAGTAGATAGCATAATGCAGTTTCCACTGTCATAATGTTAGTTTTGCTTTGCACATACTGAGTACCTAATTATGGTTCTGTTATCGTCATTGCAGGGACTGATCTCAGCTAGTGTCCATGTCTGTATCCATTACTAACCATCCCTATCCCTTGCTGGTTATCCATTTCAAGCCAACTGGCAAGTCACAGACGTATCATTTGCACATGTGATTCTCTCCTGCTCCGAGATTGATTCCAGGGTTTTTACAACCTGTGTCTGACTGAGTATGGCGTGGCCGAGGTGAAGTCCTCTTCCTATCCCAGGCAGCAGCATTTACTGTGAGCTGTGCCTTAGTAACAAACAATTTTCTGGAATTCTTCTGGAATTGACAGACAATTGCAAGAGATGATGTTATGCAGCAAGCAGCTGAGGCATGTTACCATGGCAGTAACTCATTAGCCAGAGCTGGCTGCTCTCACCCTGCAGTATGATGTACACTGGAAAAATATGCACGGGGCAGCTCAGCAGTAACACACTCTGCCACTTAGTATCCCAAGGCATCCTTGGTGAAATTGTTTTAAATTCTTAATTTTTCCCACTTTTCTTTCTTTTGGGGGTGTATATATAACACTTTTTTCCTTTCTTAGTGACAAGTAAAGACAAACTGGAAAGACAAGAAAAACCTGAAAAAAAGGAAAGGCATGCAGGTAATTATTTAATGTCAGAATTTATTTTACATTAGAAGGTATCCTAAAGCTTATTCTCTACTCCATTTCCATTTATGTATCCCCTCGAGTGCAGAAAAAAAAGAGTTATGAAATATTATGAATAAAAATAATGAAATCATAACAAATTTACAGTCTTACACACTAAGTAGCATTTAATATTCCTTCTGCATGCATTTTGTTGGTTTGGTTTTTTCCTGCGGAAGGGAGATAATATATTTTGTACTCTGGATTAGTGTAATCGTATGATAATCACTGAGTATTTCCAACACTTGCAATATGAATAGTTGCTAAGAGACGATGGTCACCCAAGAAAAAGGCACCTGACAGCCCTTTCACAGAGGTAACCAGGAAGGCCATGTGGAAAAAATATGCATTTTAAATAAAATACTGCACAGGGCCACTGAGTATGCCAGGACCAGTTCTTTCAGTAGTTACTTGCAGTAAATAGAAATCTAGCACTGTTTTATCTTCCCCAGTTCTTACTTTGTTTTTAAACACCAGCTCCATGCTCATGCATACATTTTTGTGTTCCTAGGATAATCTCATACCCTGTACTCAGATAGGGAACTGTGTGTTTTCACACACATGATCCCTGTAAGTCACCTCAGGGCACATCAGCCCATGCATATATCAGTTCTGCACATCCATGGACAAGTTGCTGTGCACACTTTAATCCCAAAAAATTAGCAAATCAGAGCCTAAACAGGAGAATATTTCAAATTACCCACTACTCAGTGACTACTGCATAACTCGGGTGTATTCTGAAACCTGAGCCAGAAATCTGGGAACTACAGAGCAGTTAATTTCAATTTGTAAGGTGGAAATTAAAAGCAAACAAAAAGTCCCAAAGAACATTAGTTATAATGTCACTGCAATTATATTTGTAATTAATTATAGTGCTTAATCATTCATAGCTGGAAAAACTGTTAGTTGTTCTGTGGAGTTCAGAAATCCTTCAGAAAGTGTCCAAAGTAATAAACAAAAAAGCTAAAAAATAACAATAAACCAAAATAAACCAATAAAATACAGGATATAAATATATTAAAAAAGAAGAAAAGCAATAGAAATAAGTATGACTCTTTTTGACTCTTTTCTTTCATGGGATTACTGGAGCTAAAAACGCTGCTGCTCCTCCAGCCAATGGCAAAGACCTCAGTGATGGCAGATAAGATTTTGAAAGTTCCAGTTCCATGTTTTGGCATCAACAACAAACAGCAGCAGCAGAATCAATCTTCCTCATTCTTTGCATGCATGACCATTGTGCCTACTTGACCCTTTTTCTTGTTTCTTGACCCTTTTTCTCATTCAAATGAAACTTTTTTTTTATAATGACCATTAAGATTATTGGTTTTATTTCTAGCTGTTCACAAAGAGAAACCTGAAAAGCCAGAAAAACAAGAAAAGAAAGCACCGTCTAAAGGTATTGATGATCATTATTAAGAGTTGTACAATTTAAGTGTTTGAAATCTTGGGAGAGTGTGGAAATAAGTATTTAAAGTACAAAGCCCTTCTAGTTCATGTAGAACACTTTTTGGGTGTTGTCTCTTTTGCTTAAGCAGGTCTTGATCAGCCTGAGTGAAGTGTTGCTCAGCAGATGTTTTTGTGCTTTACTCTCCTGTTTTGGTGCACAGAGTTTATTACAAATCATCCTTACACAGCTGAAGAATGAAACGTATGACTATTTTCTTTGCATTCCCTGATGCCTTTTTCTCCACAAAGGGATTCAGTAATTTGCCTGCAAAGATGTTTTTCTCTTGTGTATTAGTTTTCAACTGGATGCAGACTAATGCAAGAGTATTTACTATCTCTCAATCTGGGTCTTCCATCATATCCAAAAATAGAACTTCATTTTATTGCCTTTTTTTTTTTTCAATAACATTTTAATTTCAGTATATGATTTGCACTGTCTTCTACGGCAGCAGTGGCTTTGGTTAAGATTTACACATCTAATAATTATCATATATATTATGAAGCAATATCGTGGGTGTGTGAGGGGTGGTTTTTTTCTATTCTTTTGACTGATAATTCCATCTTTGGCTATGTTTGGGCAGGGAAATTTAAAAGTCCAATTGCCTTGCCCTATTATACAATTTTTTAAATACTAACGTTTATTATTGCTTGGCATATGAATGTTTTTCTCTGAGGCTAGATATTTCTCCATGGCAGATATTTCTATAACGAAGTTCATTTTCAGTCTTTGTCTCTTTTTATTTTACTCAGTTGACTCTTGAAGAAATAGTATACAACCAAATTCATATCAGTTTGTTATGGCATTGAGATTAATCCCATGATGTTGAGATGCATGAATTAACTGGGTTTAATTTGAATATGTTCAGACAATATAGGTACAAATGTACAAATTACTCTTTTTTTTTACTTTATCGTAGTCTAAGGAGAAATGTAAAACAGAAAGTAAAAGTGAAGAAAGAAAGCAAGCAGAATGAAGACTTAAAGCCTTAAAAAAACTTTGAAGGGTAGCCATCGTCCAGTCTCTCTTTTACAGGGATATTGTTCATTTTTTTCTACTTTCAGTGTATAGCTTGAAAGTGTGGGATTTTTTTTCATGAAATGAAATCATGCTGAAGTAAGCCAGAGAAAATAAATGCCCATAGTGACTGTGTTGATTTGGAAAGCAAATAACTTCCAAGAATCACTGAGATAGTCCTAATAAGCAGTCGGCCTTTTTGCCCATTTATCTTCTGCTCGCTAACCAAATAATCCCTCAGAACCTTGATGTGTTTAATAGCAGCCATGACTCCAGTCACTGGCTGGAAAATTTTATGAAGGATTTGGACACTGTAGCTGCAGATCTTTGTGGCTGCAGTGTGACATAGCCATGCTGCCCTCTCTTGGGTAGTTTCCCTGCTGTGAGCCCCTATGGCACCAGGGCATGAGGTCAGTTTTCCTCAGCATGTCCAAAGGTTCATTCCTGCCAGCACTGTGTTGCTGAGTTTTCCATTGCCAGGCCCAGCTCCCTTTTCTCAGGGATCTGCTCTAAACTGGATTAGCTACCAGCAGTGCTGAGGGGCTGCTTCAAACCACTTGCAGTCCCTAGGAAATGAAATGTCCAGGTTCTGGCCAGCTCTGGGGAATGGACATACTGAGAACTGTGTGGCTGCGTGCCATACAGTCAGCAGGTTTTCTTTATGCTCATTACAAAGACTCAAGGTAATTCTTGAGACTCTGTTAAAGGCTCCAGAAAGCCTCAGTGATATGAGTGGTTTTTAAACACATCATCTAAAAACATCTTAAAAAAATAAAACCAAGTCTAAATATCAATCAGGTCTCATACAGGCTGGAGTTCCAGGATGGAATTCAGTTAGAGAGGATTGTTATTATGTAGTTATCAGTTGAAAGAAGTGTAAATAACTCTCAAGGCTGGTTTGTACTGGTATTCTGTCTGGGTGGTGACCAGGAGGGCGAAGATAGAGGTCTGCATAAAATTTTAGCAGCCTTTCTGGAACACAGTCGTGTGTGTGTGTGTTTACACAGTGTATCTTATGCAGACATGAACTCACTCAAGCTGGGCTCTGAAGTGAACACCAGACTTATGGCTGTGTTTGTTGACAATGAGACCAAGCTAAGAAAAACACCTTTGTGCAAAGCAAATACAGCCACATGGGTTCCTGTTGGCTGTAGCACAAAGCCAAGCCCGTGTCTGCTCAGCACTTGACATGAGCAAGTTTGTTTCATCTGGACTATGTAGTAAAAACATTCCCTAGGAAACTTCAGATCTGTGTGACTCACTTGTATTCTTGTAAGGGAGCCTCAACAGATATTTTGAAGTTTTTTACCCCACTATATGAGTCTGAAAACAATTTCGAAAACTGGAAAACAGGAATTGTAAGTAAATGTGAAATTTCCAGCGATGAGATTTTTCCCTAATATACAGTTGTTCTCATTTCTAGTAACTCAAAAAGATGCACCTGAAAGACATGAAAAAACTGAAAAGAAACCTCCTCCCAAAGGTATTTATTTATCTATATTACAGGTTTTTAAGCTGAATTGACATTGAAATGCAAAAACTTTATTTTATTCAAGCAGAGATTGTAAATGTGTGTGAGAAATCAGCTACATGAAACTAAGATGAAATGAATATATAATCAGAATTAAAATGTTTGTAGAACATCCAGGGTTTAATTCTATGCTTGATCCCTTTCAAATCTGTTGCAATTTCAAATTGAGAATAAAAGTATGAGCCATCATTTCACTGAAAAACAAGTAAGCCTACATGCAAGTGATCTGATATACATTTTCACTATAACTAGTTAAGAAAATTAATTCTCCATTATCCAGGAATACTTGGATAATGTCTGGGAGTAGTAACGCTCTTATATAAATCTGAATTCTGGTTTGCAATAGTTGGATATTCCAGTTTACATATAGATAAAATCAGTTTAGTTATCTCAGTGATTTAACAGAAATGGAGGTCTAGAATCTCACAGAAAGCATAAGTTTGGTAGCATACAAGTTTTGCCTCAAGGATGGAGACATTTAAATCTATGAAGAAAACAGGTTTATGAACTTTGCACTAAACAGGTTAATTTAAAACATATCCAGTGGTAGTTTATACTAATACTATTGGATTTTCCACTGGGGTGAACTAGAAACACATGCATGGGAGACAGCATAGGAGCATGCATGTCTCAGGTGAGAAAAAGTTGCTGACACACAAAAGCAGAAAGAATGCTTTGAGTCTCACCAAGCTCTGTGCAGCTTCAGCTGCTGATACTTACAGTACCAATGGTAATTCTCCTTGGAAGCCTCCTCACTCTGCTGTAGGGCATCTCATGAATTGGTCTCAGACACTCTCAGCCCTGAGAACTGGTGTAGAGTCAGGCTCAAAAACTCAGAACTTCTTGGACTGAGACCTAGAATCAATTCATGAAAGCAACCCTTAAAAATAACCGCACACTATTTTTCCAGCTTACAACAGAGTTTAACTCTGAAGTCTAAACTTGTACATATATACCTTTCCATATTTGTTTGCTTAATGACCAATATCTTTCTCCCTAGTTTATACCATAAAAACTATCTTGTTAGAAACAAGATATTATTGATATTATTTGGCATATTTTATGATATTTAGCATCAGCCAAGCTCATGGTGTAGCACTGAAATAAAGCTTCATTGGATCTCATATCTCTGTTTAATTCTGCCTGGTTTGAGGGGATTATAGTTTTCATCAGGTCTTACCAAGCTGTTAATAATGAAGAAATGCTCATTATTAATAGCACAATATAAAGTAAATGGCACTGAATGTTATGTTGGGGGCAGAGAATGACACTGACAGCTTTTTCTTTATTGTCTGCAGAGGAGAAGAAAGTAAAGAGCACTAAAGTGGAAGCAAAAGTCAAAAAGGAAGTGAAGGATGGAAAAGGAGAAGCAAAGACGGCAGAGAAGGTCAAGCAGGCAGAGACAAAAACAACAGAAACTGGGCTAATAAAGGCCAAAACGAAAGTTAAGGAGGAGAAAGCTCTTCAGACTGTAACTAAATCGGACAAGAAAGGTAAACAAAATGAGGAGGAAACAGATGAAGATCCTAAAAAGGTAGTAGGGAAGAAAGAGAGAGAATGGAGTTAGATCTGTCAAGGACCAAAGTGCACCCATGAAAAACAAAAGCACAGTACGAATAAATTCCACTTGAACCTCACACTGCTAGGACATGATTACAGAAAATAAAATAAATTTAAGGTATATAATCAGAAGGCTCTAGAAGGTTTTCATGGCTAAAGTTTCATTTTCATTTAAATCCTTCTTTAACAAGGACCAATTTCTCTTCAGATAGATTTGAGACTTTTTGGATTTGCTCAATAGCATCTAATATAGTAGATTGCAAGCAGAGTTATTTTTGAAAATTCAGACTGTCCAATAACCTATTGGGAATTTAGGTTTTTTTCTACATCTGCATGTGCCCTCTGTAACCATAAAGAAAGTAGCAACAGTGTAAAAGAAATGTAATAATTTATCTAACATCATATTGTACGAGGCAATTAGGTTGTCAGGTGTTGTGCATTATAGTGATGTACCTGCCTCATATAACTTAATGTGACCAGCTTCCAAATTTCTTCCAAAAAGGAAAGAAATCCTGTTGGTCTAGTGTAAGGAAGAAATTAAGTGATTAAACAAAGAATCAACATGCATCAAGACCAGATGGTTAACAAGGTGTTAACTGTGTGCTCCACTTGTCAGAGCAAGCCTGCATTCTTCTAGTCCCAGGTTGCACAGACTGCTTCCCTGATTTCCCTGTGGCATTTCCATGGCACTGAGTACAATTTTGTATGAATGAAGGCAGCAGGACCTGGCTTTCTGTATGAAGTGCCACACTGCAGCCACGGGATTATTCTGACATTGAAGGAGGCAGCTCAGTGTTGCATAGAGCACCTATCTGATCCTTTCAGCTGTTAACCACAGATAAATTGCTGTGCCTGAACATCAAAGAAGCTGTCCCTGCCTGGATATCTGAGTCTGCCTGATCAGATTCTCTCAGAATTTCATAACCATTGCCCTGGACCCCTTAGGAGTTGCCTAAATTATACTTTTCTAGAAAACTGAGAGAGTTTGAGACATAGCCCACTTTCTGACATACACAGTGTGCTGAACTAGTATTTTTTAACATTTGTTTTTATTCCAGTTAATTTTGTCCTTCACTTGAGATATTGGGACCTTTGAGGCATGGAATCAAAGCTGCATCTATCACACTGATTGCTGTGACCAAGAAAAAAGTTCAGCAAATTGTTCAGTTCACTTTGGGAGGTGAAAATCTCTTTCAATTTTTTGTTTGCTCTGCAAGAGTTTCAGTGCACAGTGGGGTGTGCTCCATACTGTTCAGGATAAAGCTCTCAAAAAGAAGTGCTGTGCAGATGACAACAAAATATTTTAAGTAGGGATCAAAGATTACAATAGAATAGTGGTGGTTTTTTGTTTGTTGGGGTTTTTTTTGTGGGATTCCCAACAACTTTAGCTGATAAATATTAGCAAAATGATCCATCTTGACATCAAATATTAACAGATCATTTTGCAAGTCTGCTTTAGAGTGTTACCCAGACTGTGCATGGAATCCCAGCAGGTGAAAATGAGAATAAACAGAAGGAGTGGAGGAAGGAAGGAGCCTTTTCAACTGCCTTTATTACTGCAGACAGGGCTCCCCACATCTAGTGGAAGCTGCATTTCCTACTGTTGTGCTTCCTTTTCCCACCAAAAACCACTGCTGCCCTGCTGGATGCTTTAAAAAATTCATCTTTATGTTTCAGTCCCACTGTGACCCAAGGTGAACATAATCAATGCAGTTTTTCAGAGATTTAAAATCAATGCAGTTTTTCAGAGATTTCCTGATCCTGCAATCTTTACTTGCTCAAGGGAGTTGTTCTGCCAGCTTATCTGAAACTGTAAAAAATACAGCAGTGATCACATAAGAGTTTTTGCATAGTTTCATACTGAAATTAAAATTTAAAAAGAGAGGTCATCTTCCTGGGTAAATCACATTAAGCCCAACGACCAAAAAATGAGTATTTTTATCATTAAGAATCTAGTCCCAAATTTTGACATGATCTTTTAGTACTTATATGAATATTTGTGTCATCATTACAGAGCTATGGGTGAAAACTAAAGTGTGAAATTCCCCTTTTAATAAAGGACTTTAGATTAAAATGGATTTTTAGCCATGAAGAGGCACTTGAAAAATCATATTCATTTAAAATTCCTTAGATTTCAATCTCTACTGATTGGTATCATTCCTATAAACTTAAATAGGATGTTATAGTTCACCTTGCTATGCCATATGGAAGTTATATTTTTGTTATTGAGAGTTTTACATTCTGCCTCCAATTTCTTTTTTAAATCCATTTTTTTAAGTAGAGCTGCTAAAGATATTATATAAGGAGAAAGTAATATAAAATCTTATTCCTGAGGTACAATCAAGATTAAGCCTTTTTTTAAAAGTTTATTCAAATCACATTTCCACAAAACAAAATAAACCCAGAAAAAAGCCCCCACAACAACAACAAAAAACAGATAAACAAAATCAACAACACAGTCTAGATTTTTTCAGGTCCATACTACTAAGCTTAAAGAATAGATTATTTTAATATCAATGAAATGGTGTGATTCTAGGGCCTTAGGCTATGTCTATATCACAACTCAAACAGAACCAGGGCAGGCTTGTGCTCTGCCCTGGCACTGTCCATGCAGTGTGCTGTCCCCTGCCATCATTTTGTTCTGTATCCCCTTGCAGTCTTTTGTACAGTGGCCTAGATGGTGCAGGAAATCTTCCTGACAGGCAGCAAGGATAGGGGCGGCTTGTTTCGGCAAGAGAGAACTAAGAGAAACAGGGTTTTGTACAAGAGCTGTGCCCTGCCATTTGCTTTCTGGGCTAAAGTGTTGGCATTGCTCCACTTTATTTATAAATACTCACTGAGACCCTATTGCAAGTGCATCAAAGTCAGTAGCTTTTGGTGGGCTTAAGGAAACAGATCTCTATGTGTTTTCTCACACACACACTGTTTTTTGGGGTTTTTTTTTAGAATTATCATATAGACTTAGGGCAGATACTGTAGCCTTAAGGAAGGAATGCAAAGTTGGAGTCAGACAGAATGATAAATGCGAATTCCCAAATCTAAAAAGTAAAAATTATTATGAATATTCATCAGAGGTTTTAAAGGCAATGTTTACAGCCACAGCCCTGAGTACATGCTGAAAGTTTTGCCCCAAGCTCTACAATCCTTACTGCTATGGCTCTTGCCATCTCACTAACACAAAACAGCTGGCTGGGCTTCTATCAACTAGAAAAATTGTTTGGATATTTGTTGAGTTGGTAAACCTTTTCCTAATTTCTACATCTGTATAGGAAATAATGACTTGAAAGCAGTAGTTCTTCATCCAAGGACTGCTGGATCATTCAACTTAGCAAAGCAGCAGTCACACAAATGTCTCAGCATCAAGTGATACTGATGTAGCAGTGACCTATGTATGAAAGTCAATGATGCAACGAGTGTCACAAACTTGGCAATTACAGTTTGCATTTAAATGCAACAGCAGTGCTATTTTAAAAACTTTAATTATTCCAAAGGCAGCATAATTTTATTTTGGAGTTGGCAATGGGGAGAGAAAGTGGCTTTGTGAGTAGGACAGAGATCCCACAGGAGGTGGAGAGAGGAAGAGATGTAACTTCTACAGTGTAGGAACTGTGCTAGAAGAGTCTTGGACACAGGGATGAATATGCTTGACTCAAGGAAAACTGAGAACTGACTTAGCTAACCACACCTGGAATTTAGACATCAACATTAGCTTTCAAAGCAAATGCCCATTAGAGTCCACTGGGGCAACAAGATTTTTTTTCTGACCTGCTGAAGAATACAGCAATATTGAAGTTATTTTATGCTCAGTTAAAGCTGATGACTTTTCCTCACCATTCGTAATGTTAGAAATTTTTATTAAGCTCTCCAGCTCTGTTTATTATATATATATATATATATATATATATATATATAAATTTAATAGATGCATCATACAAATGTAATATATAAATATGTATTTTTAAAGATCAGTGTTTGGAAAATGATTCTGTAGTGAAACAGTAGAATTCTGTGGAAAATCTTGTTGCTATAGGAGTGTAAGTACACAGAGTTCTCTTTATATTCCCATTCACAAAATATACATATTTATTAAATGGGTAAAAACATATTAACAAAATACAGTGATACAAAACCTTTCTCTAAATTATCTATCAGCTGTCTGTGAAATTGGTCTTCAGGGATGATGAAAAGTCTATGAGACCTGTGGCCAGGCAGCACTGTGCTTGCTTGCCTGGTACCTGTGCATGGGGTTAGGATATATGCCAAGCAGAGCTGGCCCAGCAAAAGAGGTGGAAGCTCTGGGACACTGGAAGCTCTGCAGTTCTTGGCTAGAGGTTTTGAGTTAGATCTGGACAACAAATTGTCACTTTCTAAACACATGAGCCCCTTGAAGGTCAGGAAAAAAGCCAGAAAATGTAATAAGTAAGACCACCTATGGAAAGGCTACTGAGATGACTTTGCTCTGCCAAACTTTATCTTCACTGTTAAATAGAAATGACATTCTAAATTCACTTTCTTCATTACTCTTCTTTTTTTTTTTTGCTCTGTTAGATCAATATGCATTCTGTCGCTATGTGATTGACATGTTTGCACAAGGGGATTTTTATCCAGGTACTTTCCTCTATCATTGAATTCTGTTCTAATATTCTGTTTCCCTGCAAGTTTTTGCTCCTTTATGTATTAAAAGTGTGGTTTTTTTATTATTGAAAGGTCTCACAAGAGCAACAAAGCGTGTGCAAATAGTTTTAATAAAGCATAAGAGCTAATGGCTGTTTTCTTAAATCTTCTAATTTTCTGTCTAAAATGCATGAATTAAAATCAAGGTTATGTTAAAAGTAGAGTCAATGGAAGGCTGTAGAAATTGCTGAAATTTTCCATGCTTCTTTTGGCTGAGACGCAAGAGGAAGGAGCTTATTGTTAATAGCCGATTATTTGGTTTATTGTTTTTTTTTTTTCTCCACAAATAGCAAGGCTTAACTCCAGAATGTTTCAAAAATAGAACTTTCATTGTTGCTAGTACATAAAATACCTTAGCTGATACACCACTTTTGTGCTTTATCTTCTCTCTTCCCACATCTCCATGCTAATCTGTTCTAACACAGACACTTAATTCCTCACTGAAAAAAAGAAGATAGAGCTTCTAATGATGAATGAGCATCATCTCATAATATTAAGTCAGTCGACCCTGACCTTATTTAATAAATACTCTTTCTGCTGAAGTCTAGACATACTGTAAAGAGACATAACCCTAGGAGTGAAAAGCAAAAACATTAATGAAAAGAGCTAAGGAGAGAATATTTAAGGACACTCTAAACCTTACCAGCTTTGTTTGTTCAGTTATTTGCTCAACAAGCTCTCCACAGGTACACCTCTGAACTGGTTGTTGTTTTTCTTATCTCTGCCTTGTGGCTTACATCCTCTCTTGCCATGCCCAGGCTCAGACAGAGCTGGGAAGTCATAAGGACGTGGCTGAGAAAGACTCTCACAAAGGGGAGAGGGAGGACACAGATTTTTGTAGAGAGAAAATAACAAACTTGGGATTCAGTAGGGAGAGGGCTCCATCAAAAGAGAGTAAAATACTGCATCTCCTCTAGGACTTCTAAAGACATGCAGTTATAGACAGAGGGACTGCTTTAGGCTCAGAGGGGGAAAATGATAGCTAAAGCTTTCAGAGACTCAGTCATGGTTTGAGTTAAAAAATAGCACCCTGCACCAATGTGAATGACGTAGTTTCTGGATTTACACGACTGTACCATCAACAATTCACACAAGAAATACTTTCATGGAGATCTTCAGGATCTTTCTTACAGATGTCCTGACATTTACAAGCAGAAACAAAAAACCCCTTTTTTTCTCAGAAGGCTCCCTGGCCTGTTTGACCCTCTCCTGAGGCAGAGCAAATGTGCTGTAGGAAGGGACAGCTTGGGTTTTTCCAGCTGTGACTTTTCCAGCTACAAGGAAACTGGGAAATCCATGAAGGGGAGAAGTGAAGTAGAGAATGAAGTCTGTAGTGACTTGAATTTCAGAAGATAAAGACGTGACTCTTCCAGTGTTTGCCTTGTGTCATACCAGTGTGCTATGACAGACTTGTGCAAGAAACCACCGGTTAAAGAGCTGAAAGACATTAAATGGACATAGGGTGATCAGATGGCCTTACAAGTGAATGAAAAACTAGGGTGACATGTTTAGACTCCAAAAAGTAGAAATAAGTCTTAAAGTATCTTAAATAATCTAATTTTTAGGTGAAGTGGAAATGGACTACTCCTTAACATCTCCCAAAGTCCACCTGGAGTTCCGTCTGTCAAGTGACTGCCTTTTGACCTCTCAAGTTACTTGTTGAACCCTGAAGTTAAATGCTGCAAATGGTTGTTGTGCTGAAGCCAGATGCATTTTTGTGGGAGGGGAAAAAAAACATTGCCTTGAAAACAAGATTTATTCAACCCATCAGCTGTGAAAGGCAATGCTGGAACATCCAGACTCCAGAAACACTACTCAGTGTTTCTGAGAAGCAAAGTAGAGGTCAAGTATGATCAGCCTTTATTTATGGAAATCATTGAGAAGAGTGCCACCAAACAGTACTTGATTAGTTTGTTACTGTCTTTCTCAGACAAATTGCTCATTTTACACCATCCTTTTGTGAACAGAAGTATTACTGTAATTCATTTTACTGAATAGATAAATGTGGGGAAAACACCCTTTAATAACCCTAATATCCAATTAGAGTTACGATCTGGTATATTTTATCCTTTTATCTGTCTATATATTTTATGGTAAGGAACTTTGTCCAAACAAAGAGCTCTGAGTTCATATCAGCTGAGGAATTGAATTACAGTCACCTTGACTCTACAGTTCTTTCAAACATGGAATAATTTCTATCAATCTCAACATTACCATTTGTGAAGGGGAAAAAAATTTTTTCATAGAAAATTCCTTTGCACAGACATATTGGGATTTTCTGTGATTGATTGCAACAAACATGAATTGCTGATTCCTTAGGCAAAATTTATAATGTCATTTTTAGTTATATCATTCAGCATTTTTTCTTAGAAAAAAATGTTAGTTAGCAGTGTTATTATTATAAAAAATCATATAAATTACTATAAGATTAGGGTTTTTTATATAAATATTAAGCAAGAATTTATAGAAAAGTAGTTCATTTTGTATGGCATTTTATAGTGCTCAAACAATTAACATTAAAAGTAAAATTCAGTTCTTTAGATTTCATTAATAAATACATTTTTTAAAATACATCAAATAATGCATTTTGTCGGTCACATCAATCTGTTGGAAGTCAGTTAATGCTTTTATATTGATTTTAACGAATGAAGCTGAAATATTCTTCACCTGCTCAAAGTTTCATCATGACAATGCAGTCTTAGCTATAAAAAATGAATGAAATGTACACAGGCAATTCAAGGAAGACATACAAGGAAGAATTTTTGCCAAGATGCTTCATGCAGCATTAGCTGGTTTTTCTCATTTCGCTGGTAGTATTTGTCCTTGATACTGACAAATTTCATGGATGTCCTCCTTTAATCCACAATAATTGTATCAATATAAAATAAATTCTAAGACTAATATTTTAATTTTTATGAAAGAGAAGTATTTGAAGTTCTCAGCACTTTACAATTATAATAGTGGAGTTTTAGCCATAAACTGATTTTTTCTAATCCAGAAGTCCTTCCCTTGAATATCATGACTGCAACAGTGACCAGTTGGGTTCTACTGATACATTTAGAGGTAGACCACTTGAGGCCTACTGTACACAGTATAAAAAACTGCTTTCTGATTTTATCTCTTGAGAAATCGGCCTTAAAAATATTTTTTTTTATCTTCTGTCTAAAATGCTCATGATAAGTGACAATTTCTCAGAGGAACTGCTGAACCACGTTTCATAGATTTTCTGGTCCTATTTGTCCCTGGACTACAGTTGCTCAGCCAAGGCAGTGCTGTCTCAGCATCATTAACAAATCACTCTGCCCAAACTGCTTTGTACTCCTTTTGTCTGCCTGTAAAGAAAGAATTAATATGCACTTCTTTCAGGATTAGTTTTCCAAGTTTTCCTTATAAAGATTAAAACCTTAGGTAGAAAGCTTGATTATTTAAGAACGTTAGCTCTGACTGTGGTACCTTTATTTTTCTACTGGCATTTCTTTAGTCCAAGATAGCATTTTTGATGCAGAAGGTCACAAACATATAGTTTAGTGGATATAGTCTATTCCATGTATTTGATAATTTGTTTGATATTCCTATTTTTTTTTCTCAGTAGTATTTCTAATGTCCTTATTCATAGTTTATTTTTTATTGGTAGGAGAAAGGGTTCTAGTTTAGTGGAAATTTTAAAACTTGTTTTCATAACTAGTTTTTTATGTTAGAAAGTTTGAAATCCTCACCCACGTGGAAGGATTTCAGGGGCACTAATTGGTCACTCTTTTAGCATGGAGAACATGATACTTTAAGTTAACTGGATCGACTCTATTTCCTTCCCCCTGTGCCATAAGCCTGTTTCCTACTCTTCCCCTGCTTTTCCTGCAATGCTTGCCAATCTGGCACTAGTCTGGCAGATCAAGGAGCTGTTCTGATGAAATGCCTGTTTTGTTTTGCAACTACTGAAACTGGATTCTTGCATGTCTATCGTCTGCATGGCACCTCAGCATGTTGTTGTGCATGCTGAATTGAGTGGTAAGCATGTCTTGGGTATTTAGTCATGAAATGCACTTTTTTCCCTCACAAGCATATTATCTACTTGTGATGTGATGTGATTTTCTTTTCTTTTTAATCACTTAGAAGTTTATTTTGCATGCTTACCTTTACTCTGTTCTGGCTTTGGTTAAATCACTTGCATTTCACAGTACACCCAACTCACTAATGGAGGATCTTTACAGTTGCTTAATTCACAACAAAGACAGTGGGAACACAGATGTGGTATTATTCACAGTTTGGACTTTCTAAGACCTTAGCACTGAAGAACATGTTTGCCCTATGGGGATTGTACCACTACATAGCTGTTTTCAATAACAGCTAGACTGCAAAGGAAAGGGGCCATATCGGTTCCTTTCATCAATGTACACTTATATTTATTGTGTATTTCCATTCCAGGGTCTCAAAGCCAGTCCCAAAGCCAATATGAAAGCCAATGTGTTGCAGACAATTTTACTTGTCTTATACTGTTGAAAAACATATATGACTTGGAGAAATTCACAAGGATTTCTGGCATGTGTACGCTGCAAGAGAGTATCCCATAGGGTAAAAGAGTCATCACACCTTCTCATTAAAATAATCATTGAAGCCTCACCTTTTGCACACATGTTCATAAACACCCCCTCCCCCCTGCACCTCTAACCACCCCACCCTCCCCCCAGCAAACATGAAAAGTCAAGAAATTAAGGCAAATTGTGATGAGTATCCATGGGGAATCTTACAGATTGCTTGGTCCTGGAAAGTGTAGAGTGAAAATCCATCATGTCTACAATATTCTTCCAAGGCTTACCTCTTCCTCATTGCCAAGAAATATTCTGTCAAAGAGGAGGGACTACTGTTATTGCACAATATGACAAGAGAAATTCAAGACTATCAGTATGTTACTTGCCATTTAATAACCTTAAAATATG